AAAAAAAAAAAGGAAATATACTCAGAAAAGAGAATATATTTATTTATATTTATTTATATATTTATTTATAGTGATTTGATATTATTTAAAGCCAAATGCGACGTCCTCCGGTGTTGTCTCCGTCTCTTAGCAATCGTCGTCATCATCGCGGTGTATTACGCCACGCTTTGTTAGCATCTGCGTGGAGTGTACCTGCAGCTGTGAGTGCCGCCGCGCAGAATTGCCGCAGTCTTTTGCCTATCCCACTCTATACAAACAATAATACTAATAATAATAATAATAATAATAATAATAATAATAATAATAACACTAATAATATTATTATGAACAACCTTAATCGTAATAATAATCAACAAGATCATCCTCATGAAGATGGTACTCCCTCTGACCTTGCTGGTGAGATGTATACAGGAACCAAGGTAATTCATTCACATAGGACCTTTCTCCGTAAAGGTAGAGAAGCCTCTTCTTCTTCTTCTTCCTCTACTACTACTACTACTACTACTACTACTACTACTACTACTACTACTACTACTACTGATACTACTGGTATTCCTTCAGTGGATGGAAGTCGTCGGGCGGAATCACGTGAGGCGGGTGAAGAGTGGGAGGCATCCACCGGTGTAGCGGCTCGCACAACTTCATCGGGCAACAGTGCCCTGCAGGCATTTCACCGCTGGTCGGAGAAAACAGGCAGTTGCACTCCACTGGAGTTTGTTCAGGGTGTACAGCAATCATACTATGGATTGGGGATTGTGTTGAATACACTCGCAGAGGCTGTACGGCCGCAAACTCCACAGGCGAAGTCTGTTCCTCTTAGTGGAGCCCTCACACAATTAAAGAATTTATTGGTTAAACAATACGGAGTTGCTCCTTCTGCTTTTAATCATGAGATCATTTCCTCCACTTCTACTTCTTCCTCTTCCTCCTCTACAGATAAGAAGTCTGATGGAAAAGAAGTGGAGGAGGTAAATGCGGCCAAAGTGGTTTCTCAAGCCCTTACACAGGTATTGCCTATATCTCCTAATCTCGCAGAGGAACTTTATTATATATGGAATAAACAACGAACGTTTGAAGCCAATTTATTTTGTGTTGCTGGACCTACAGATTATATCTTATCAACCAATATTGTTCTTTTTCATGAATGTCATAAAGAAGAGGTACATGTGGATGGTGAAGGGCCTTTTAAAATGGTGAATGTTCCATTTCCATCTACACAAGGTCGACGCTCTCGTTCAAGAATCTCTCGAGGGAATTTTAGACAAGAAATAAAGAATATTACTCATACAAATGTTAATCTCGCAGAGGAGGTAAAAGAATCCATAAAGGAAGAAATCTCTACTGGAAGTAAACCTTCTGTTACCTCTACTAATACTACTGCTGCTGCTGCCAAGGATAATGAGGATAAACATAACGATAATGATAGTACTCATAAGAGTTCTATAAAAGAAAATGAAGAAGAGAAGCCAGTAAAAGAACAAACTGTTATTACCTACAAGGGGAAACAATTGACGCCAATACCGGCTGATGCCCTCGCATGTGTATTGGCCACTGTAGATGTCGTAACTCCACCACAACGTTATGCTCCTACTTTTGATTGGTTTTATAAACGTATTACAGGATATGAGAATGAGTATGAGCGTATCGCAGCAGCACGTATTTTCGCCATGTCTAATGCTCATCCCTTTGTGGTTCCTTTAGATTTTCTCTTATGGATGTTTACTGGTCGTCATGTGGAATTTATATGTAAAAATGGAATTTCTGCACAGATTGGTATTCCAAAAAATATTGCTGAATGTCCACCAGCGACACGTAAGATGATGTGCTTCTATATGGATGCAAATAGACGATGGGTGCTTTCTGATCTTCTCATGGTAGATAGCGTCCTGACGACTATGGTCCCTAAGGATGCTACGGCGTAGTTTTTAAAAAACAAGAGAATTTATGGAGAGGGGAGAGAAAAAGAAGAAGATGATGATAATAATTGGTGAAATTACAGGTGGCGTTGATATATATATATATATATATAT